TTTATACATAGTAAATTATTCAGTTGCAGTTAACTTGCCGTTGTATATGTTGTTGTTCGGTTCATTAACCCTTTCTACTGTTCATTACCCTTTCAATTCCTGATTATTTTTAGTTATATTGGGTAATATTTTTATACGATATGTACGATATTTAGTATCTTAATATGTAATATTTGATTCATTAACATTTTTTACTATAATTTATTTCAAGAATTTTTTATTACTTTTATACATATTGAATAATATTTTTATAAGTTATTTACAATATTCAATGTTTCTCTCCAAAGGCGATTACTAGTAAAACATATCCCAATGCTGTGCTTCCGATGGATCCAGCTTGTGGCAATTCTCTTTGGCATGGGAAGCTCATAACGGGCTAGACTTGTCATTTATCTATAAGGGATTACCTCTGGTAAAATTCTGTATATTTTTATGAAGAAATTGTTAATTAATTATTGTAATAATAAATTGTCTTTGCTTAATTGTTTCAGTTAACACCAGAAGTATCGAAATGATTTAAAATGATAGTAATACTGAATAACAATATTGTTGTACCAATATTGAATTATAAATAATACGTTTATTTATTTATTTATGTATATATCTATTGCCATAAGATTTTATGTATAATATTCTAATATTTATTACATTATCAAATCTTGAAAAGTTCATTTCTTCAGTTTCATAATACTCTGCAGATAAGTCGTCTTTATTGCTTGATATTTTTAGTGTTAAAACCTGCCTTGAGTTTAAATTATATAATATTATTCATTAATGTTACATGTGTTGGTGGTAGTGTTATTTGCATGCACAGATCATATGCGAGGCTTAACGTGTATACATTAGATCAAAGTCTGATCTGGTAAACGGTTCGTAGGGACACGAAACTCGCGTTTGCCAAGAGTTTTTGTGAGAATCGCCCCGTAGCTACTGGAGGAATTAATCAGCACGAAGAAACTTTCCTTCGATTGCCTTTAGCCAGATGAAGTGTCTCGATTCATTACTTTCTCCCGTGGTAACTCGTAAACTACGAATCCGCTGGTGATCCAGACGTACCATGAGAGTAATACAACATAAGATCTCGAAAGTTGGATCGATTGTTGCAACGAACTGCAACTGTAAACGAGAGAATTTTAACCTCGATACTCATTACATTATTCCTTGAAAATTGTAATAACTGTTATAAAGAATTTAAAGTTTTGTAATTTGATGTAATTTGCATATATTCAACGGTAAAACGATTCTTAACAAGAATAACATGGGGATTGTCTGTCTAATTTAAATAAAGCCCTGCAAGATTGCACAATAGTTAAAAATAATAGATATGAAATATTGTAGTTGGTGTAACTGAAATTTAACAGGTGAAATCATCTACTAAATTGTTACTCTCAAAGTACTAACTTTGAAATAGTTGTGCATAAAAATGTTCATACAAGTCGAATGCTTTGTAATGAATTATAAGAAAAGGCTCAAGTTCAACAAACTTTTAAAAACGTATAAGTAAACACGCATTTGTTATGTGTATATAAAAAGTTATAATGCTTGTATTCAACAAAAAGGTTTTTTTAATTTTGTATCAATTCTATTGTATAAACAAATAGTATATTTAACCGTCGATACAAAATTGCCATTTTGTATATGCTTTACTTGTAGCAATGTCAACAAAATTGATAAGTTATAGGTATTTTTGTATCAAAGAATGTCTTCTAATTCATCAGAAACATTACGACGCGTTTGTTACAACGCGTAACAGTGAAAACAGTTAATCACCGAGGTTTCTAATCGAAATTAATGGTTCGTCAAACCATGTCATCGACCCTCACTAGCGTACCTTGTCCAATAAATGTCATAATACTTCATTCATCTCAGTGAAACGCCCTCGACACGACGCAAACTAGCGTTGTGGTAATTTCGCCTTGATTTACAACTGCCAGAGCTACGCCGATACTCAGCCGATAATCGAGTAATTTGTTGTTCGCATTTTCACACGACGGCAGCTTGTGAAGTCATCCACATGATTCACGTGTGCATGTCCGTGTGTGCAAACTGAATCAGAATATTGCCACACGAGTGATAATGGATAGTTTTCTCGTTTCACGAAAACGCGAGAAGTTCGTGTACAGTCGATGTAGCGTGAAAATGATCGGTCCACTGAATTTTCGTGGCTCATTAATTCTGCCAAACTTTTTGCATGGATAATGACTCACTTCTTACAATGCAGGTAATCGAGCTAGAGTTTCATGTTCACGGTTTTATTCGAGGAATACAAGAAACTTTCTGTAATGTCATCTACGTCTCATTCTTATATTTTTCCAATTGATTTTAGATTTAGCGAAAATGAAAATTACAATGATTTCATGTTATTACGAGTAATGGTAATTCACATTTAGAAACAAATTTTTATGTAAAGAAGATTATGTGCTTGGTATAAGTAATAATTTTATCTTCGATCGATTAAAACTGAAATTATTTAAATACAGCTGAAGGAGAAATTCACATTTCAGTGATATAATCCTTTTAATTTTTCAAGCATTTAATTTTGTCTATATTTGACAGTAAGATCGTTAATTACGAAAAACACGCAAATGTGTAAATCCATTTCCACTGAACAGTAGAAAAGATCGTTAAATAGTTAAGTTATTCAGAGCGATGTTTCTTCCTCTTATATTATGAGAAATTGCAGCGACGAGTCGCATTTTTCCATTCGCAAGCCCGCGACGTCGTCGCTACGACTTGAGAATTATTAATGATCATCTGATGAAATTAATAACGCAGTCGTTGGTGATACAGCGCTAGCTGCAGGGTAACAGCTGTCGTTTGTGTGAAAAAATCCTGGACACGGAATACTGCGGTAAATTTCTCTTCTAATTAATCTTGGTGCAGGTGAACATTATCCAGTGGTGGCACCACTGCATTAATGACCACGATGCATTATCCAATTATACTGTTCAAGTGTTTTGTTACGATTTTTCACTGGTTAATCACGTGAAAGTATAAGTTCCATAAATAATATGCTGAAACATAATTAATTCACAACCAATCTACGCATCCAACTTTTAATTAGAATGCATTACAATAAAAAAATAATATAACGAATGTAAAACCATTTCATGATAACGTTTCATAATTATACTTACTGACATATATAAAAACGGATATCTTATAAAAACATATTATCGATAATGATTTATCCAAAGTTATTAATTTCAAGCGGTAAAGTTACTTTAAAAAATCCGAATGTGTTTATTTGCAATGAACACATTCACTTTCTAAAGAAATCGAAAGAAAATACAGTTTCAAACTTATGTTTTTTAGTTGTCAAGTACCATTCAACATTCGTTTAGAACAGAATAGTGTCATAACATTTTAAATTTTAACTTTATTATATAATAATATATTTTATTATATTAACTATATGCATTCTTCAATTTTCATTGACATCAAACGAAATAACAGTGTATTTTCTGTATAATAAGTTTCTATACATACAAAGAAATAGAGAATATGAGAAATGTTATTGTATTGCTTATTTTTGTGTATTACGCGTATTTAAACCAGTTAACTGTGGAATTTAATTTCGAAAATATCTCATTGCATGGTCAATAAAGTCAAACAACGAAGCATATACTCGTTAAACGCAGTGCAAATGTAGCTATAATATATTCTAACGAAAGCTGAACGAAGAAGAATTATATGTACGTGTATCTGAAAAATAACCAGTTCATCGTTGAAAGGAATAGTATGATTTCAAGTTTCAAAATAACGTGTACACTTGTTAAACGCAGTTAATTGATTAATATATTTCCCACAATTATGATACAATTACTACGAAAGCAACTCATCGAGCAATCACTTGTTGCGAAGACCGACAATTACGAATCGTTTTCTTTTGCAAGTGACCCCGGGTGCATTGACCGTGATAGAGTTGCGGCTACGATAATTACCCTAATTTAGTAACTCCACCAGAATATTCGATCCCCGCGGCTGGGATCTGCGACGTAAGCCCGCACTTAATCAATCGGCTATGCGCGTATTAGCTGTTACGTGGGACGCGGTTGACGGCTAAAGCTACGCCGAAGCATGGGTGGTTTCGCGCTTCCCAGTTAGGGAGGAACACGATGCACGCGTTTCCACGCGTTCCGCTGCACCAGCTCGTGATTTGCATTGCAAAGCTGGCTAGTATTCGTCGTAACACTCGTGTCTTCGTTATCGGTACTAGAAACTTGCTCCTGGAATTCAAATTCCCGGTGGGGAGAGTCAGTGCTCGATACAGTGTCCGCGCACCGTTGTCATGTTCCACGAATTCTTATTAACTCGTTGACTGCCACGAGAATTTCGAGCGTTTTGTATAATGACACATATTCTTTTATAACAAAGACAAATAGTATTAGAAACAGGGCCATCCTGAAATATTTGTTGCCCGTGAGCTACTGACAATAATGCGCCCCTCTTCATAAGAAAATGCACTGGAAGAAGAGCGGGAGTGGAGTGACCAGTGAAGTTTTACAAAAGCTTCATAACTAGAAAAAATTAATATATTACCATTAAATGAATAAAAATATAAAATTCATACAAAATCCAAATAACCTATATGAACAAAAAGAAACTAATAAACAAAAAACAAAAGTAACTTATGTGTGTAATTTACATATTTATTTTCCTAGCTCTTTCTTTGACAAACTGGTTAATAATAGCACACGTATTTAAATTATTAAATAAATCACTCTCTATGAACGAAATACTTAATTCATTTGATTTGTCCTGTAGCAAAGAGGGAAATAATTTTTTGTTCTTTTAAGTGCTGAAAAAGATTTTCCATCGCTGCAATTTGCAACGGCAATACCGTAATTTGTATCGCAGTACTCATATTACTCTATCATCTAGCTACTCATGCTGCTGAATATTTTTATTCGATATTAATTTTCTTAGTGTAACCGTTCTAAAGCAATTTGGAAGCTCCAGTGATCGGTGACCGTGGCAGTCAACGTGTTAACTCTTTGCCTTATAATAGCGTGTCAGATTCGTGGCGAAGATTTTAAAGAGAATTTAATAAACATAAATGTTACTTGATTCTTGTGTAACTGAAATTAAATATTATTCTTCTGTTATCGATTATTATAATATAAAGCAAACACAGACATAGAGTATGCCTAGAATTTTTCTCTTTCTTCAATGAATTATTAATGACAAAGTAGTCATATAGATCGTAGGTAAGAAATATAACCTGACGATCGATGTAGAATATAAAAGAAATGTTCTACCGGAGTTCAGTGAAACGTTTACAATAAATTCTAAATTACTTGAGACTTCTATCACGGAGAAGACTCGGGCAATTGCTATGCTTAGTACTTCAACTAAGTTTCTAGCATGATTTCCTTTACTTATCTGTTAACGTACTGATGCCGCAGATTTCTATCATTTCAAGGTATATAATTGGTTAGTGCCGTATTTCTCCGTGTAATTTATGTAAGTCTCGACGAGAAATGAATGCACAGTAATGAGAATTTTAACACCAAAGATACCAGACGAGTTAAATCGTCCCATTTCAGAATTTTTATTTTGCAAGTACTGAAATTACGAACGCGTTCTTGCGAAAGATTTTGAATTAAATCCGTGTATTTGCACAAATCCAAGACTAGGAAACCCTTTGAATCTCAAGAAACCTATTGTTCTAATTATTACAAAAAGTTAAAAATAAATCACTCTGCTTGCTCGGTAGTTTTAGTGTTAAATGGAAATCTGTCATTAAAACTTCCTATTTCCACATCAACATATTATCAATCCAAAACATTTCTCCCTCCCTACAAACACTAACATAAACCCTCAAAAACCAAAACATAGAAACACAAATCATATAAACAATCACATAACGATTACATTCACGGTCTATACCAGGTCTATACAGCGCGTAGTCACGATCTTGACTAGCGGTGGTCGGCGAGCGATGGCCGTGTGGCGCCAAAGCTCTGTGCTCTGGCTCTTGACGGAGATTTTCTTAACTTGTCCGAAAAAAACGTTCTCATATTTTCTGCGGGGGGTTCCTCTTCAGAAATGTCTGCAGAATCCAATGGTGCATAGTAAATTCGTGCTAGACAACCCACTTTTCGTAAAAATGTAACAGAAGTGCGTACGAAGTAGACGCAAAATTTTTATAGCTACATATTCGAGCAACTCTCCTCTATTTTTTACGACAAATTTCAACTGCCTATCGTTTTTAGTTTTCAGGTAAAACTTGTTTCTCTAAAAAATCTGACCGTTTTTACAAAAACTCGTTTTTCGAAAACTGGACGTGACTCAGCAATTTGGTTTTCGGATTCGTATTTAGGACAATGAACTCTATAAGAATCACTTAGTGGTTACTGCAAGACACAAGAAAAGTTTAAATTTGTTCCACAGTGTTATCCTTTTGACTCCACATTCCCGAGCAAACCCAGCAATTCTCGGAGCCGGGGATCCCACGATTGTAACGAAACAACGATAAACCGGCCATCGGAGTTTAAACAGTCGCCCTTGGCGTTCCTACTTCACTCGGAGACCGGGTGCACCGCAATTCCTAGCCCTTGGACCCATTTTATCACCAATCCTCCAGACTCGTCGTCACTCGGGATACTTGTTGTTCGGGCTATCAAAGCGTTTGGAATACTTACGGCACAAATCGTCTTGCGAGCCTTCGTGGGAAGTAGGAAAGGGTTGTGGTCGCGTGGTTGCGGTGCAGGGCGCAAACGAACTCTGTTCGGCGTGAATTCGGGCTCGCATTGCTCGCGGACAGGCGTATACTCACCTTGTCCATCAGCTGGCGGACTATGCCGTTCCACTCGCCGGTCTCGTAATCATAAACGCCGTATTTGCCATCCGGCACGAGCTCGATCCTGTACGCGAAGCCCACCATGTGAGCTATCTCCTTGAGTAGGTCGATGCAGAAGCCCTCGTAACGTGCATTCCCGCTGAAATTCCCTCTGCTCTTCAGCATTACGTACGGCTGCTCCTACGGGGACCATAAAAAGGAACTACTACCTTCTCCGTTCTTCCTCACCACCGTCTCTTCTTCACCCTTTTCTTTATACCGATCCTCCTTTATCTATACTTTTATTTTCGGTCCCCTCTTCCCCAACTCCCTTTAGTCTCATTTTATTTCCTCTTCCTACAACGTTTTCTACAATTTTTTGCGGACCCTTCATTCCCCTGCCGCCCTCCTGTTGCTCGTTAATTCTTTTATAGTCGTTGAAATTAATTTTTTTTTATTATGAGCTGTGCTTTGTACGGTAGACGGTCGGCGTTGCGAATTTTCATGCGTCTTTTTACGTTATTCCTAGGATTTCCCTTGCTTTCTTTTATTTTCTATCGTGTTCTCTTTCTCCCTCTCTTTTCATGCTCCGCGCGTGCTCTATAGATAAAGGTATGAATAAATGTTGTTTGATGAGAAGTTTGGGGATATCTTCGTGGGAAAGCTTTCGGATTATGTAAAGAGCGAGGGATAGGATAATATTTTTCCTTTGAAGTAGTTTAACTCGTTGTCTTGCGATACCATTATGCAAATCTGAACTGGAAATTCATATAAATATTATCTATATAATAAGTCAAATAGGTATTTCCGATAATATTTTGAAGTTTTAAAGAAAACTCCCGCTTATCATACAGACTTTTTTCTGCTTCGGCAGATTATTCGTTATAAAACACAGGGTAACGAGGTATACGTGATAATTGTGTTATCTGTCGCTGTATGGTTTATGTAAATAAATTATAACTCGTTGGTAGGATGATCTTTGCTATAGTCTTTCTGTTGCGTGATATTTTAACAGTAGAAAAATGTCATAGACTATATGAAAACCTGCGGAACACCCTGTATTTCTTGAATTTAGTATCTGTCACATGCGCATCAGCTCCAAACTGTCAAACAGATTGGGTCTTCGATGGCGTGATTCCCCGCTAGTCTACGCAAGATATCCTGGTTACAACGCGCGATCATCCTCCCGCGAAATTCCAATTTCCTTGCCATTTTTCTCGGCTTCCGTTTGACAGTGAAAACCCACGGCAGACGAATGGATGTTCCCCCTCGTGTATCGTCTCGCGATCGTGCGAGTCGATCGTCTTCTCGTGGACCGCGGATTTTGACGGATGGCGAAACAACCGAACGCGTTTTTGCTTTTAACGTCGCCTATCAAAATCACTCGGAACAATTCTGTAACGACGTTCGAAATAAAATTTTGGAAGTATCTGTATCAACACATTGCAGGCCCCGCGATATTTTAGGATTTTTTTCTGTATGTATGCATGTCTTACGCGTTGATGTTTATTTATACACTAAATATCTCGGTTTTGTTGGATCTTAGGCTTTTGTTCGAGTGTATATGGCGAATATGCAACCAAAATATATTATTTTACGAAAATGTATAAGGTTTTTAATATTTTCTTTAACTACTCACTCTTCAGGTTAATATTTGACCGGCGTACAATGTGTTGATACGTTAGATTCGTCTCATATTTGTGACTGTCTGATGATGGGATCGAAATATAGACTTTGCATAAAGACATTGAAACGTGTGCTATAGATATCGTTATTTAACACATTCATCTCGAGAGGTGTTTTTGTATGTTCATTCATAGATCGTAGTAATAATAAAGCAACGTTTGCAAAATGATGATACAGTGCATTCTTTTATTACATGTCTAGTTTTCTGATTTTAGTTGCTAATTGTGGGTTATAGGTAATCAATAATCTAAAAAATTATTTCATTATTACTGCTAACTTATTTTAATATTGTAAATTGGTCGTGTACCTCTAATAGTACACACCGGCGTGAACATGTTAATGTTACGAAATATGATATTATATTTAATAACTCGGTAACATTTCTGTATTTCAGTCTTTTAATATTTTATTTAGAAGATTTGTTGAATTTAATAGAATATTGTAATTGAGTAAACAGTAACTGAAACAAGTGGTAGTAGCGAACATGCTAACTCCTTCACTGTGGAAGTTGCATATAAACCAACAGTAAGTAACATTATTTTTAATAAGTTTTCAAAGAAATTTCTCTGCAAAAATGCTTTGCGCGATTAGATCTTACATTAAAGAAAACCTAATCCAGACATCAACAACACATTTTGCGAAATATTAAATATATATATATTTAATATTATATATATATCTCGAATTTGAAGGCTGGTTCTCCTTTTCTACATAAAAACAATGACGATCACAAACAATTGATTCAAAAGATTTTTCTAAGAACATTAATATACGTGTTACATATTTTTAGGCTCTTGAATTCGATGAAACGATTGAGTGACTGCCGTATAAATACCGTGCCGCGGACAGCTGATGGCATTCTATTGGAATTGGCCGCAGCTAAAGAGTTAAACGATGAAATGCAAAAGAAATGGCAATGACAATTTAGCATCGAATTTCAATCGCGTCTCGACTTCAATCGATAATTGCCCGGCACTGTACGAGCGCGTAGACGAAGAGAGCAAGCGAGCCTCGTACTCGGTGGCGCTCGATGCTGATTACCGACTAAATGAATTACCGTTTGATAGACTATTACGAGTGAATACTCCCTCAGGGTGTGGTGAATGGGACGGCGCGACGTGTAGCTGAGCCTACACAACAAAAATTGCAGGAATGTTAGGCGAATTAACGGAAGGAACGGTTGAAGCAAGCTGTGTTACGTTCAGGGATTTTGTGAAACATTTCTCCGATAATAATTAATTTGCATCTCTTGTTTTTCGTCGCGAGATGCATTTTATTTCCTTGCGTGTAATCAATTTAGCGGTACCTTGTTCGATTTTTACGGCAACTATACTGTGTTTAACGAATGTACAATATATATACGCTTTTAAAAAGGATACGGTAGCTAAGACGTTAATACTCTGTGTATAACTGTATTTTCTAACAATAAAATTGGATAAATATTATAGTATTTTCTAAATTAAATAATTTCTTTATATCTAAGCAATAAGTGGAAAGGATAGTATATTGGACCGAATGAAATTATAGATTTAGAAAGATTCAATGGATTGCTCATTGATGTACTTGATAACTAAATTTGCAAGGATAATTCGGCAGAGTCTACATAAAATTTATCTTAAGCAAAGAACTTGTAAAACATCTCATTTCATATATAACTGAGGTACTTCAAAATTTATCATGAGACAATGCAAACGTGGCTGGATATTAAATCTTCGGAATTCTGAGGATGGCAAATTAATCGTTGCTGGCAGGTACTATTAAGCTCATTGAAGTATGGGAGGTACAGACAGAGGGAGAGAGAAAGAGAGAGAGAACCAATAAGAGAGTGAGAGAGTGTTTAGTATGATGATTAATAATACCTTTCAACGGTATGATTACATCTTCATTATTAAAGAAATCGATTGACTTAAACTGAAATTAACCGTCGATAATTAATAATGTTTTAATAGATAATTGAATAAACGACTCTTAATATTCTGCAATACATTCTCAGTGTATTGTTTAGAAGATGATTAATTACGAACATTTTCATATATAGGTAAAATCCTTTCCCCAGGTAGTATTTCATATCAATTAAGATTTGGTAACACCTGATGTTATTTTTAATACTGAAAATACCAGATAAATCAAGATCATCTATTTATGATTCTTAATTTCGTAATTATTACAATTATAAAAGTGTGTTTAAAAGAAATTTATAAATAAATAAATTTATTTATGAGCGTACAATAATAAAATTTGCATGAAATTTAAACAGAAACATCTTTATAATTATAATAAGAAATTATATATAGGTTACTTTGAAATTTCGTTATTATCAGAGATAACATTCTTTACTATATTCAAATGTAGTCGATTAACGAATATCACGTTAGTTCTCTACGATTGTAAAAAAAAGGTTTCGTGTAATTCAGTTAATATATCATACTTGAATATCAGTTAATAACTATTTTCAGTATTGAAATAAACAAATTTACATAATTTTCATATCTATTAAAGTTGTAACGTATCACCTAACATTCAAAACGTTATTTAGAATTTTATTTGACACATTTTTAATATTTTACGAAATGGTACTATAGTATTTAATAAAATATTGTAACAATAAGAACAGTTTCCACGACATACGATGGTACTGAAGGTAGTAAATAGTTGTTCCTTGAGAAAATTCATATTAATATTATTATGACAATATTTATACTGTTTTGAATGCGTACAATAGATCATCGATGATCCTATTGGCACGAATAGAAGGTTGTATGAAGTGGCCTGGTCATGAAACATGTTAAATTTTAATTTAACGCTAATCGATTAGAGACGCTAGCTGATAACGAATTAAATCGCAAATCACATTCAATTATTCAGTAACAACTGCGCCTACATTCTAATACTGAATTTATTAATACGAATGGTGTTAAAATCTCATACGTTAATAGTTGTGGAATGTTAATTTTGAATATATCTATGTATATACAGACGTTATAGTGGTAATGAAAATTGATCACTTTTAATTATTTTCGATATTATTATTTTGAACTTTAAAATTGATATAATTTACCTACTAGGTATAATTTACCTCAATCATAAAATAAACCTTAATTCAGATTCTTCAAATTATATTATAATTATATTTTTTAAAAATTATACACAGTTTACTAAGAAACAGTACTTAATTTGGTAAAATGTATCATACATATTAATAAACGAATATTTTCGTTTCTGAATGCTTTTATGAATATTCTTTATGCACTATTTTCTGAATATCGACAAAGATAGAGAGTGTAGACACGCTAGTCTCCAGATAATAAAATGGAAGATATAAATATTGCTAATAATTTTTTGCTAATTGTTATTCTTAAGATTATCAAGCATGAGTTGTCTTTCTGGAGAAATTATTCTGTTCTACTGATGTTGCAGTTAATTACATAATATATTTTTTATTCCATAATGATTGACACATTAGTAAGCGAAGACGTGACATAATTGACAATAAATCTGTTAAACGGGGGACCCTCTTGGATTATCCAATATTCTCGGAAGTCAGTCCATAGAGGATTTTTATCTTCAAAGGCAGTGTAACGGCAATTAATTTGCAATAAAATTTCTAACAACTGACAATTAAATTTATGAGTTTTGATCAATCGTAAAGAAGTAAAAATATGATTCCCCTCTTATCTACCATTAAACAAATTTTAACGTGTATCCTCTTAAAACTAGCTTAGAAGTGTATTTTTCGGTTTAATGAAGAATCTTTTCCCAAAGAAGTACACAGACATAAATAGTCTCATATTTGGACAAGCAACTTTGTCTTGACATTTATTAATTCTTAAATTAAGACTGCCGAAGAATTATAAATTATATTACTAAATACATTATGCATCAACTTCATTCATTAAAAATACACAGAAAGATACAGCTTATACTCGAAAGTCTCAACAGTAACAGAATCGACAATCTCACCAGCAGTAAAATCAACAATCTTAAATTCCTTATGATTCCCAAACCTCCAAACAATAACCAAACGACGAAAGAAAAGAGAATCCTCCAAAAATCGATCTCAAACATCATATAAAACGGTAGTGGTGTAAATGATAACGGGATGACAAGAAAATTCCGCGGACGTTTCGCGTCAACGAGTCGCGCCATCCAATTAGCATCCTGCAGCCCGTGCTCGATTTACGGGGGTTCGTTACGCGGCGTGCGCTCGCGAGCAATTAACGCGCCATCGTTCGTGATTTACCTTCGACTGCTCGCGGCTCGACCTGCGCGCTCGACGATCGATGACGACGAATCAGTGGGGTGTTCGGGGGATGAAAAGAGGTGAAGGGCGAAGGAGGGAAGGCTAGTCCAGACTGACAGACTTTGCCTGTAGACTGTCTATGGCACCTGACAGGAATGCGGATCTAATTGATCAGAATGGAGGGAGGCACGCTTTTTATCACATGCATTTTCGCAAAGTATTCATCAATATAATTAACACTAGGTTTATGAAACCTAAATTATGAACTTTACATTGAATTTTATAAATTATTTGGCAAATGTTTAAGTCGACTTTGATTGATGCAATTATACGAATATGTATCCTAATTATTTATTCTTAAATCTATAATTTTTAAAATCTAAATAAGCGAATATCAACTTTTCTAGGAACAATAGAATCAATTGTACAATAAATGTCTGTAAACCTAATGTTAATTAATACCGTGAAAAAGCACATAGCGAAAGACTCCTCTTACCTCTGCGCGTACCAACTCTTCATCAACGCACAATACAGGATGTCCTGTTTTAACCGTTTGAGTTCCAAGCGGCGCGATCGCGCTTTTCCATTATACGCCTAAAAGTTCCAGTCTATCGGTTCGTAGAATCAGATGAAGCTTATCAGATTGCGCTTCAAAAATCTTGGAATTTTTCGACCGGGTTTTCGCAAAAACCGGTAGTGCTCAAACGGTTAATATAAATATAATTATCTTTGAAAGTATTTGTTATTCAAAAAGTGTCTCAAATAGAATTTTTTCTGTATTGAGTGGACAGTAATTTGATACTCTTAGCTTATCTTTAGGTGGACGTGTGTAGGAGACATGAAGTTACTATTGTTTCTTTTAATGTATTTATGTAATTTATTTCGTGGCAGTTGATGCAGTAAGTCGTTTTTTACAAAATGACAGTAAACTATCTACATCGAACACATATCAAAACAGAAAAAATTGTACTTGAGAAATTTTTTAAATAATTGTATTTATAAATTAAAGTAGGACACCTTGTATATTGTTTACTGATAGTCGACCGACGTCGCCGGACGATGTTTTGTATATAGACTGTCTATAAATAATGATATATGTCCACAACAAATTAATATCTTCAATCATATTTCTGAATGAGGTTACTGTAGCAGTTTATGGTGTATATATATTTCTATATTTGCAAAAGAAAAGTTTAGTTAGAGTTGTAGTTATCTTCTTCAAGGAATATACCTAGAAGATGCACTATGAAGAATATGTTTGTCGCTTAAAGACTGATTAAACTGAATTACATGTTGTCTTACTGACATTAAAAAACAATGTCATTCATTTCCATCCCAACGAAAACAGATTATAGGTTAAACATTTAACCATAGATTGTGTCAAAATTAGTATATCTTTCGCTATTTGCAAATTGTTCGTAGAAAATATACGATACATTGATAAAGAGCAACCGAAAGGATTGGGAGTTTAATGCATCAGACTAAAATAATGCACGTCTTATTTCACACATATTTTCAATACTAACGTGCCATTTGTCAATACAGTAGTACTTCAATTATCCAATTTAATTAGGCGACTAACCAAAGAAGCTCAAAACTCAAGAAAAAATTCTTCAAAATACGTTTGCAATATTCGACCTCACACATCCTAGACCAGTGTTTCTCAAAGGGTGTGTTGCAAAATCTTAAAAAAAACTAGCTTCGTTTTGATTTTAATATCATTATTTTTTGTTCTACTTATTTAATTTAGAAACTTGTTCTATGACTATGTAGGTGTGCCGTGAAATTTGTCTTCGTTGGCAAATGTACCACGAGAGTAAAAAGATTGAGAAACATTGTCCCGGGCTATAATCTAACACTCCGAATTTTTTACTTTACGAATTATCAAAACTCCGAACAATCTAAATAGCGAAAAGTAGTAACTCGGTTAATCGAGATCCTACGGTACTATTACATGGTAATCAATCAGTATCATAACCAAAACACACAGCAAGAGAGCATCCTTATCCCGGTGTCAACCGCTGGTACCAACTTTCTGTCAATGCACGATACACAGACAATTGTCTCTCAGTCTGGATTAGCATTAACAGGTCCGAGCAAACAACGAGTCAGCGGTGCAGAAGTTCCACGGGCCGGCGGAACCTCTGGCGAAGTCACAAACACGCTTCCGGTGGATTGGTGGTTCGAAACGCGAACGGAGTCTCGGAATGGGGGTGGGCTGGGGTTGTACCGTGAGAGGGGGTGCGGTCAATCTCTACGTTCGCGCGGCTCTAATTGGCGTCTCGTGGTTTCTCACTGACTAGAGGTGTCTTTAATCGGGATTGAGTAAGATCGAGGGGCGATCGTTCGGTTCGACCGTAATACTGGTCTAAGCGGAACTTGAATCCCGAACAGGTGGAACGTGGTTGAAATTTAGCCACGCTGCTTTCCCTCTATGTCCTTTAGCGCTTGATCGCACTCGGTGTGTCGTTCTGGAACTAAATTCAAGCTTGACCGTTTGACTGCGGGTAAACGCGATCGGGTTCTTTGATTCATTTATTCGAGCGACGACGAGACTTGCTTCCACAGTTGTAGATTTGTTCTTATTCCGAGAAAGAGAACAATTGTTTGATTGTAGTTTGCATGTAGGATCTTAACGGAATTGATTAAGGACTGATCACAGCGTTTTAGTAAAAGAATTCATTATTTCTCGTAGCCATTGGTAGTTATAGTCAAACGGTTAAGAAAAATCTTCGTGCAGGTGTGATATTCTCTACTATTCGATCTATCATCTCTAGACTCTGATCACAGTTGTATTGTGAGCTAATATCGTAAGAGTGCATCGTAAACGGTAAACTGTATCGTTGAGTGTCTAGCTTAATACGCTAAGGTGCTTTCGTGTCGGACATGTGTGGAAAGAAACATCAAACTTTCTATATTATATAATGTGATATATTACAGTGTATATATATATATATATATATATATATATATATATATATATATATATATATATATATATATATATATATATATATATATATATATGTATGTATATCGACGAGGTGAGTCTAATGAAAAAGTGGCTACAAAGATCAGCGAGTAACAGGTGGTAAGAACAGTTTCTAGAGAAAGTTACCTACGGAGAACCATGTGTGTATGTGTGACTGTATGACTGGCGGTGGGGTTTTGGGCCAAGTACGATGAGAAAAATTAAACAAACCAAATCATACATGTCGCATGAGTTCTCTGACGATGCCGTTCCATTCCCCGGTTTCTGGGTCTTTCGCGCCGTACTTCCTGTCCGGTACCAGCTCCAACCGGTAAGAGAAGCCGACCTCCCTCGCCACCGCTTCCAGTAGGTCCACGCAAAAACCGTAAAACCGCGCATTCCCCGTGTAGTTTTTTTCGTAGTGCATCATCACGTACGGAATTTCCTGCGGCCCACGGTCAACAAGGTGCCCATGCAAACAACGGAACACGATGTCAGATCGGGGGACGATACACGAGGCCGTCGACTACTCGGTTAAACGCGACTGTGTTCGTTTCGGTCGTTTCTCGTCAACTGTGCTGGGCGACGGTTCGTTTTAACCCTTTGAGCGCTGTGGATGTATATATACATTTCTGGCGAAAGTCATCGCTGAGGACTATGCACGTGTAAATATGTTTTTCAATTTTTTTGATCTCTTATGTGTCGCGGTGACAATTATATGTGTGAGATGAATGTATGAATTTTTTAGCATTATTCAATATGGCGAAACTGTGGAATTATAATTTAATTACGTTTTGTGTGAATTAACTCAGTTTTATTTCGTTTTTTTTTCTGTTTCGTGATTTCTTACAATTATTGTTATTATGATAGATTTTTAGTCATTGCCAACATCTTTAAATTGATATGGACTGAAATTAGGGAAATTAGTTCATCGATTTTCAGACGACTAGCTAAACAAAACGATATTTCGTTCACACGGAATGTTTCAGCTTTGAGTGTTTAGTGCTGAAAGGGTTAAAAACGACTCTCTTGCAACGGGCGAAGGTTTTTGACGATTGCGAACGGTTCGACTGATCGTGATTTTCGACCACTTGGCTTGGAACAACGTGTCTCGTGATTGAAATCTCGAGCAGAAAGTGAATTGCCTTCCATTTGTGTCATTTATTTCTAATTTATTGTCTGTACTTTGATGATTGTTTCGAACAGCTTTGGACAATTGATTGGACGTATGTAAATTCCAAGCGAAGTGGCTAGTGAGCAACTATAGCTGAAACCGAATTAAGTTGGTCAACCTGGGTTGTGTTCTCTATCATGATTGGTTGCATATATTATTTTCAATCGTTGCTATTGTTACCGGTATAATTGATTTTCTCGCGGTGAATTACATTTTTATTGCCAAATTGTTATAATTAAATCATATTGTTGGCTTGTTTCAAATGTGAATTAACTTCCAGTTAAACGATAAAATTTATAAGAAATAATATACATCAAACAACGTACAATAAATAAACAATAATGCGGTAGTGAAATGCAGTTCAAAATTATAGCCCCGCACAACAAATTTTAAACAATCTGTATGGCATGTATACCATTTCATAATTAAATTACACGTTTTAATGTTTGGGCACGAGATAAATACCGCCTCTCAGTTTCCAAACACTGTAGAATCGATCAAATCAATCATTGAACATTGTTTTTTTTTTCAAAACCATATCGAACGTTAACTTCATTTCTTTTTTAATTCAAAACGGCATTGGATCTGATCATCTGAACAAAGAGATTCAAATTAGTTATATGTACTTACATTATTAATACAAGTCTACAACATGGAAATTTTGGTACTTAATAAATGTGTCTTTGAAGCCATGAAAGATTGATCATACGAATTTTTATTTATCACCAAAAGCAAGTAAATTATCCATTTCTCACCTTATGTAAGGTCAACTTCTATATCAACAATATAACATATTGAATTATATTTAAATTAAATAACGTACATGCTACTTCCAGAATGTAAAACCAACAACATTTAATCTTCTATAAATCAAATTTCGTAATATAATTTTAATCACTATCAAACTTAGCAAATCACAAGGAAATTTCGTTTGCGTGTAAGTGACGGCAGACATAAAAACCTTATCTTCTCCGATTTATACGCTAGAAGTACCATTAAAAGAGACCATTAAGCTCTTCAATGATTCAAAAGACTTCAACGTACCACGATTCTATTTAACTCGATAATTAGACTCGAATCGATAAAGTATTTTAAGTGACGGCGGTAGTTACTTCGGGTGACCTTGACCAGCCAGTTAACGCGGTTTCAACCATAGCCAAGGAGATGATCGCTGGATCAGGTCAGTCCAGCTGATCGAGCAAGGGAGAGATGGTACACGTTCTAACGACAATTGCCACGAGGAAGTCGGCCATCCCGAGTAGAATGATGAAGTTTTATAACTCTTTAACTTCTATTCTCGACCGGAATGGCGCGTTCAGCATAACGGATACCGGACATAAAGTACGAGATTTCGTGATGCGGAGGACACGCAATCGCTGTTTATTACTCCATGACTGCTGTCCGTAAATACAGTCAACGACAAAAGTATTCGAACGTTGCGTATTCAGATGTAATGTATGTTCTATAATTTGAGTGAATGTTATTAAATGTTTTCTTAATTTTACATACACTTAGTATATATACGAGGATTGGCTGAAAACTAATTCGAATTTAAGTTTCGAATTTTTAGAAAGAATGTACGTATTGAAACACGCCAAAGAGGAAATGAAAGTACGATTCATTAGCTACAAAATCTACATTTATTTTCTTACATACACTACTGGTCAAAAGTTTGGAACCAGTTGATATAGAACGTCACAAATTCAAAATTATATATCATAAATATATAAAATAAAATAACAAAAATTATATACCTTTATGTTCAGGTTTCTTTACCATACACAAAAATTCTCTAATGAAAATTGTTTACAAAACATGGAAGTTTTTCTTTTAATAGATGTTAAAATGGTCCCAAACCTTAGACCGACAGTGTAATTGTGATTACGTACAATATACTTTTGTTAATGCCAATTAAAGAAAGATGACTTTGTTTATTCCGTGAACGAAACATTCTGGTGGTCTGCATGTGATGAAGTCATTGCTGCGTAGACTTTATTTTAATATTTGAAATAAATATCTTTTAGTGTACTCTTCAATTATGTGCAAAAATGAAAATCACAAGGAATCAAATCTGAACTACAAAATTCAAGCAGAAAGGCACGAGTTTCAACCTCGTTAGAGTATCCCATTAATATCGCGTCCATACCGAATCTTGCTCTAAATGATACTGTTCCTGTCTACATTGAGCAAACTTCTCAAGACATGACATACTTATCAAGAAAAAATGTGCCTACAATCCAAGTACTCATATCTTCTTTCGTTCTCAAAATATAAATGAAAATTCATTGCGTTTCAATCCAAGTTCGTACATAACTTACATTTAATGCAGCTTGTTCCGACAAATTTCAATAGATCATACAACTTATCCATGAAAATTAATTTTTTACCATTCAGTTCGAATATCTTTGTTGCCGACTGTATCTTGTCCCGATCGCAAATGCTCCGGGTATTGCGGCCTGAAGGATTTCCGGTGTCGGACCGAGGGTCGTCCTCGTGGTGAGACATTTATCTCGGAGCCGGTTGCGCCTGAAACTTGCTCGAATAGAACTGAACATTCGATACGCCACCCTTTCGAATCCTCGGGTAGTCTACCGATCGCGCTCGTACCCGCTTATCCGTCTTCTGTTTCAAAGTTCATTAAATTCTTCCTCGCCGTTGCATCGCGCACGTACTGTAGTTAAAGTCGGCGGGGTTCGATCGTGCTTGCAGGAATCGCGGATGAGAAAGCGCGGATTTTCTAGTATTTCCGAAGTTCGTTTCCGAGTTTCGAGTGTCGACGACACGCATCACCGAGGAGCAACGCGGTTCCACGCGATAAAAATTGATATCTGCATTTGATATTTTTGATAAGAGTGGGGACGTTTCCCGAGGAACTTACCAGTATCGTTATTACGAGTAGCGTGACGTTCGCGGACCCTGGCTCGAAGAAGGCCGCGGTGTCCGTCACGTTGACGCCAACGCCTGGACGCCATTCACCAACCTACGGAATCCTAAGTTTTAACGAACGTGTTCAACCCTTTCGCTGCTGCCCGCATATGTGGAGTATTTTGTATGGGATAAATATGTGCATTACTTTCTTTGATAAATAAAACAATGAGGTGGTCACTACTTGGAATTGTTGAATAGTTTCTTTTTTAAGTGAATAATTAAGGATTTCCTAATATTGATATTTTAATAATACTTTATTTAGTTAGAGTCTTAAGTATATTAATGTTTGAATGAAAGTGAGATATACAATTCTACACCAATGAGTAGTTTTTAATAATTAACTTTATAATTCCTTTCGAAAAATTATAATGTTGTAGTACTTCTTTGACGTAGTACAATCATTGATAAATAATAAAAAAGTTTTCCCATAATCTTCCAAGATTATCGACATTTGTAGGCTAATATCTGTATATTTATTTATTATATTTCGATTTTAGGGTATTCTCAAAGAATAAAATATTTTTTATTTAAGCTTTTTCAATATTAAATGATGGGAAAAAGTATACATGGTAAAGTAGTGACGAATCAAAGGAGGTTTATGTATGTAGAACTAGTCAAAGTTTGTAAACCAGATGCATCGCAGCGAAAGAGTTAATGAGTTCATTTATTTTGATCGAGAACGTACCTTAACGAGCGAGTGTTGCTTCAGCTTCAACAGGTCCAACTTGAACTGAATCCTGCGCCCTTCCTTGAACTCTATTGGTCCGGAAATACCCTTCATCTGCACCTAGGAAAAAGAAAACGTACTTCATGTTATCAGGATCATAAAAATTTATCCGAAACGTTAAATTTACTCTATATAAATTTATAGCTTGTTGCAAGTAATTCAATATTTTTTTCATGTTAGTTTCGAAAAATTATCTTTAACACATTATAATCGCTCCAATTGTTTGATCAATTGTTTAGGAGCGGTTTATACACGCCAAACTAAAGCGAAAATTCGAAGTGATAAAATTACTATTGAAGCGACGCTTTTAAATTATTAAAAATTCAAAACCTTTTTAAACTACAGCGTTCTTGATAATCGAACTCATACGTTATTACCGATCAAAGTTAGTCTCTAATAAACGAATAAAGTGCTCGAAATCGTGATTTTCATTATTAATTCACTTCTTATTCTGTTTCATATAATCACCTCTTGCATATTTTCCAGCACACTGAATACACAATACAGGTATATCACACAGAATAAAGTGCTGGGATCGCAGCTTGAGGTGAATCAAATAATAATAAAAATCTAGTTGACATTTGTTATATCCCACATTACATTCCTCATTAGTAAGCGAAACATTTAAAAATCTATTTTCACTTCTCTCTATTAATCCCATAACCTATAATTTCTCTTACAACTGTGCTTGATGAAACTACTTTGCAGTAAATAATTGATTAGAAAAAAGAACTTGGTATTTATTCTGTGTTTACGTTTACGCTAAACATTAAATATTAACAATAAATAAGCAACATTTTATTTATATAAAAAATAAATAAATAATATTTAGATTTATCGACTTGAGTTTCAAATTTCCACCATGAGTCTGATACGTTATTATTATAGGACAAAGGGTTAACCAGTTAACTGTGTTTAACGAGTATACACGTCATCTTAATGTTTGAAACGTGATCAATTCTTTCAACGATGAATTTTTTATTTTTTCAGATAAACATGTAATTCTTTTTTGTTTTGCAAAACGAGAGATTTTTCAAATTAAACTCCACATTAAACAGATTAACACGTTAACTGTCATGGAGGTCACCGATGACCGAAGCTTCCAAATTATTGAAGAACATTTGCAATAAAAAAACTGATGTCGAATAAAAACATTTAGTAGCAGCTAGATAACAGTATAATATGAGTATTATGATATCAAATCATTACTAATTATTTTCAACATCATTTGCCTTTGTTATTAATGAATAAATATTGCTACACAGAACGCTCGAAATTCTAGTGGCAGTGAACGTGTTAGTGTTCGAGTATTTCTGTTTTTTCACTGTCAAATCGAAGACAATCCAATTCGCTTCGGTACAACCCTAATCGCAGTGCAAAGAACGCAAAGTCATATGAGTACAAAATTCGAAGTATTTCGAAGGAGATCGGGATCTTGAAATTCGATCGATTTGCCGAATTTCCGTGGAACGGCGATAACAGCGGCGCACGGCGATTCATCACCCGGCGTATAAGCGTAATATGGTAACGCGGGGATCGGATGATCCCAAAGGCGCGTTAAAAATTTTCCCACTTAAAAAGTCGTTATCACGGGCCCCCTGTCGGCCCCGGAAGTCGTTACGGCTGGTTGTTGGCTTTGCCAGGACAGGAAAGTACGAGCGGAAGTCGGCCAGCCTTGATCCGGCGTTCTTTTCGCCGCCGCGAAAATATTTTGAAGACGTGGGGGATGATGAAGCTCGTCTTGAAGGCTGCAGCTCGAATACAGCTCGGTTTCGTGGGACGCATAAATTTAAGAAACAAGAAGGGATGCTCCGGTCTACGGACTTTTTAATCCCCCCCGGCATCCGTGCACCAAGTTTTTTGCCATCCGAGGCCACTGACCGGGATGCAAATGCCCAATTATGATTCAACGATCGCGAACAAATTTGCTCCAACTTGTTCGTCGGATCGGAACTTGCTACCCTGTTCCCATTGGTCGCGAGTGGAATTATTCTATAAGTTGGTCTCATCGAATCCGGGAACTTCCAGACGAAGGGATAGGAATTTTTATTGCAATGGAATTTCAATTCGATCAGTTTCCTTTTATTGATACTTGTGTATGATATAAAGGAAGAGAGTACTGAAAGAGAAGCGAAATGAAGAAGTCAAATTCGATTGGGGACTATAAAGAGAAATTCCTTTGTAAGTTGAGGCTTCGAGCATTTCCACTCACTGTGCGTTTGACTTTATCTTGATGATATCTACTTGTACTTTGCAATTTCTCAATTCTCAGTTTTTATTGAACTAATAGGGGATGTATAAATGGGGGAAAGAGTGTACGAGGGCTACTCGCTCCTTCGATGAAAAGGATTAAAAAAATGAAATATAGACTAACAAAAAATAAGGTAAAAGTAATGTGTTAGTGGAAAATGTCTGTACACATGCTAAATACTGCTGGCATAAAAGGAGTTATCTTTAATGCAAATTTCATTAAAATTGCTTTTTAAACGCGTGATATGCGTCTTTGAAACTAATATATAACTTACAGTTCCTCCTTCAAGTAGAAATCCCAAGTAAATATCAGATACACAAGTAAAATCATATTTCAGGACAATTCACAAATTACTTTACGTATATGCAACGTAGAAAATGCACGGGTGGCTCAGAATAATAGTGTTCTAACTGCTATTCCTGACTTCTCGAGAAAAAATAAAACTTGTATGCAATTTCCTCGAATTAAGTAAATACTAATATCACACTTACCAATATTAATAATCAATATTATGAGAAACACTTCACAAAAATTATTTTCTCATAAACTGGCGTTAAACCGTTACCATTCCGAGCCACTCATACATTGCATTATTCACATTGTTCTGCACGTTCAGCCTCTCCCATAATCCTCTAAATAATGTAACACAGACGTTGAAATATTCGGCACCAACATTCCCACCGTTTATTCGCGTTCATTCCATTTCGAGAGTTGCGGGCGACAGCGGCGGGATGATGCACGGTTGCAATTTACCGGATTCATCGGCGGTGCGGTGCACAAGGAACGCCGGGGAAAGCGTTAATTAAGTATTCGTAAGACAGATACTCATTGCCAGTGAACGTCCGGCGGAAAACGGTCGCAACCGGACGCTAGAGTCTTTTTACGGCCGTAATAAAATCCTGGCGTCGGCGAACGGCGCCGGATGTGAAAGTATCACGAGATGTCCTCGTGCGAGGTACAAGTCTACGGATTACGAGGCGATGATGATCCACTTATTCCCGCGATTCTCATCGTGAACCGAGCTTGTTGCTGGGCCCCCTTTTACGAGTCGAGTAAGACGAAATTGACTTTTTTTATCAGCGTATTCTCCCAGGTATATGCGACAAGGGAACACTTGAAACGGAGGGCGGGCAGAAGTTTACTTCCCGGTATTGGGAGTTTCCTAGCGTTGAAAAGGGGAAACGACAGATGTAGTGGCACCGAGGTGTCGTTACGTGGGATTTAGAAGGCGGCTGTAACCTTGATGGCGGCCGTGATAAGATCCAGACGCTGATTAAAAGGAATATTGTTTGATGTTCGTATCACTGGTGACTTTTATTTCCGACGGAATTTCTACTACGATATACTCTCATGTTTTTAATACTAAGTTTATAAAAGTTCATCAAATAAAAAGATATGATTCCAGTATTTCCCTGTTACGTGTATTAGAAATCCGTTAAGGTCTCGAGAAAAGTATATCGCGTAATAAAGGAAATCATACAATTTTCATAAAATCAAGTCATCATTTTATAACAATATCGGAGTATTTACGTCGAACGATTACGATAAACGATCTCGCGGGCAGCAGCGATATTAGATTGCAATTTCACCAGAGAAACTCGCGTCAAACAGAAAATCAAAGAACCGGGGACCGAAATGAGATCAGAAACGATCTCATTGTATCGTGCACTCGAAGATTATCGGCGCATCGATTTTTCCGGTCTCGTCCGACCAGCACAATAATCACTGCTCGACGTACGATTTTATTTGCCGGCAGTCGAGCAAGCGTCGCTGATTCCGCTTTATTTTCCGCATAATGTGGCACGCGGCGGGGAAATCGGTCGAGTGTAACAGGACCGAGAGAAAATAGGAAAAAAAGGGAAAGAGTTACGAGTATCGGGGAAGAGAATATTATTTGTCGCGCGCAGTTTGCCACAGCTCGGAGAACAGTCCCGTCTTCCAGCGGGTTGCAGATACGAGAAGATTCACGGGGGATGCATAAACGTCGGCCATAAAATCACGAAACGCCTTCCTACCGCGTATCGGGGCTTTCATAAATACGAATACGATCGATTTCAGGGGGCCTGCAGGACAGGCGAGCCACCGAGTACGCGATTCAAAGGTGATTCAGAAGTTTCACGATCTCTGCATCTGACGTTCAGTCGGCAGTGGTGCCCTCATGAACTTCCCATTCGAGTCGCAATCACAAGAAAAACTGAGCGGATCCAATAGGAACGTCTCTTCGAACAATTACTTTTCTTGTGAGTGCGGTTGCACTTGAAAACTTTCATAAGATCTTTTATTCGTAAAGAGCGTTCATCCTTTTATGAGAGCTTTTTGCGAATTCGCCATTTTTCAGTGTTTGCTCGCTCGGTATTCTTTCCTTTATTATAGTGTGTGTTGAATCTTTTAAAAGTAGCTTCCTGTGTTACAAGAAATGATAAGTACACAAAGATTTTAGATTAAAAAATTAGATTTCAAATGTTATTTAAGAACAATGTTTTAACCAATTAATAACGGTTGACGAGTATACACGTCATCTTAAAGCTTGAAATGGTACTAATTCTTTATTTTTTCAGATAAACATGTAATTGTCCTTTTTTTGCTTTGGTTTTTCATTAAAATATACCCTAGGTGCACTCGTCCTCCGTTTGACGAGTACGCACTTCATTTTTTCATTTTATTGTGCGCAAAACGAGAGATTTTTCAAACTAAATTCTGCAGTTAACCCTTCACACTCGATTTATATTCAATGTTGTTGGGTGTAAACTTGTATTTATTTTTAGGGAAATGAAGTAAAGTAATTTACAATGGTAAAATTGGTTATTAA